GAGGGGGACGGGGAGGGGTGTGTGTCAGAATGCCATTCCACACTTAATTTTACCACTACACAGAAAAACTTTCACATGACAAGAAATTATTTCAAATACTCTCCTTCTATGCCCCACTTCTAATTTGTTTCATTTACATTATATGAAACAAGGCTGCTCAATAACTGCTTCAGAATGCACAGAACCCAGTGGTTGTTTCTAACAAATCTTAACACTGAAAAAGCTTGATGCATAATAATGATGTTTTAAGGGTGCACTATGTATACTGTTTATTTAATGGACCACTATAGCAAGTGCCTTGTGAGCTGCTTTTTTTTCCAAAAGCTGCATATTTTGTATTTGTTAGCACTCTTTTGTGTTTCAATGTCATATTTTCCATATTCAGTCAGTAATCCGAATCTGAAATGACTCGTAAAACTGGGCACTTTCACTTCCTTGGAAGTAGTATTTAACAACAAAATAGGCAAAATTGATTGCTTTTGTTAAGATAATATCTACGTCTATTTAAGAAGAGGTACTCATTTAAACTGAGATGAAAAATAATAGGTGGTTAACTGGAAAAACCTTTAAAATGTAATTTATTGAGGCTGTTTATTTTCCCTCTCTGAATTTGGTTGATCACTTTTCAAATTTTGTTCACATAGACTGAACTTGCTTTAATACCTGGTTTGCAAACATGTTTTTGGGGGAGGGTCACACTGGCACTCTCATTTTAAGTGGTTAGACTTTCATTAGACTGCAAACGTTGAGGCATTGTTGAGTTTTTCACAAAGCCTATGTTTTAGGTCCTGCCTCCTGATTTTGTTTAGATACGTGAAGTTGTGCATGCCTATAATATAATATTAATTTTGAGAACAGAGTGTATTCCTGCATTTTTAAACAGCTGGGCTTCAGTGCAAAGAAATCTAGTGTGCATACGTGTTCCCTGTGCTGCTTAATGTGAATGACATAATGGAACATTTATCATATATCCATTGTCAACGTTGCTGTGTTTCTTAAAGCAACATAACAATGCTCTTTGGACCCCATTATCTATGCTAATTCTTATTTTGATGCAAATCAAATACTCCTTTGACCACCTGCAAAAGATACCAAAACGGGTGAACCAGTTGTGCTGTAGTTTCAAAGAAATGCTTATGTAAATGACTTGACATCAGCGCAAGCTTGAAGGTCAGGACTTAAAACCAGTAAGACTTTGGATACTTGAATTTTTGGATCTTCAACTTGGAATGTTAAAGGGTTTGCATTTAAGAAACATAATCCAGAAGGTCAGAGCACACACAAGACACTATGGCAACTGGGCCTCTTTGAAATATTTCCGGTTGGACATCTTAAATCACTTATCACTCTTTCTTGACTGAAGAGTCCTCCAAACAATGACTGACACAGTTCAGCGCAAGTGTCTGTGAAGGAGGAGTAAGAATACTGGGTGAAAGTTACAGCCCTGATCTAGAGAGACTTCAGTTCACACCTAATTTTGCATAGTGTAAGTGGTTGTATTGACAGTAAAACCGTAGGTTGAACCCCTCAGCAATTCTGGAAATTGGAACGAGGCGAGTTTTTTTGAAGGAACAAGTAAAGAATAATCTTTTAAAAAGTTCTAGTTTCTGCTGTTGCAAGTTAGTGCAGTTAATTTTAACTGATAAACTTTTCAACTGTTTTATTGTCAAAATGTAGTAAATTGTCCACTACAGCAACCTTTGGTGTAAATTTTGTTTCCTTATGCACATTCTCTATCTACCAATGTACTCATTTTAAGGTCCAATATTAAGTGAAGGAGATGCCTTGTATCTTGTGGAAGAATGTTTAGCAGCCAAAAAACTGTTTTGCCAGTTTAAATGTTACAAAATCTCTGCATTGAAATGTTTTAGCAGTGTAGTAGATCCGTGAAGATCTTCAAATAGGCTTTATTACTTTTTGTCAGATTGTCAATAATTTAATCACTTGTGCCATTATCAGTCGGTGTCTTGTCTCTTGTTTTCTTGATCAATCTTTAAGATTCGATTTAGGCTTTGATAGTCTTTTCCATTCCATGTAGTTTCTATTGACTGTCTGCTTTAAGTACAGGTTTATTGTAACTTTATGTATAGTTTACTTCACCAAGGTGTTCATGTGCAATTTAAATAGATTTAATATTTTACTAAGAAAAACAATATAGGTAAATAAACTTTATTTGCTGTGAAAAACTCTAGGCACTTTTAAATGGTAAAAATATATAGCATTATTTGTAAAAAGGAACTTTGTGCTTATTGCTTCATCATTTTTGTGCCAGAACTGTAAACTAGTTTTCATATTTTATATTTCTCAAAATAAATGGAGAATCAACAAAGCCTGTAACTTCTAAGTTCTTTGAGGGGATGAAGAGCAATGGATAAATTCATTTGCAGGGCTCGGTGTTTTTCTTTTGGTGGCTTCTTGTTGTTTTGTTTTTTTTTAAATCTGGGA